GTTTTTTAAGTAAAGGCCATAAGTATGAGCTAGTTAGACAAGCATCAACAGTTTCTTTCCTACTGCCCCTACGGACCACTGGAAGCACTTGCCTAAAATCGCCTCCAAATACTATGACCTTACCGCCAAAAATTTCAGAACAGCCACAGACGTCTTTAAGCGCAAGATCAAGCGCCTCTATGGCATCCCTTTTAGCCATCGGTGCTTCATCCCAAACAATTAGCACACTCTCCCGAATTAAGGACCCTAAACTACTCTGTTTACTAATACTGCAAGACTTGACATTCGACAAATCAATAGGGATTTTAAACCTTGAATGCGCCGTCCTACCGCCGGGTAATATGGACGCAGCAATACCAGATGTTGCGGTGGCCAGGCCTACACAACCTTTTGATCGGACAACTGCAAGCAAGGCCCGGTAAAGAAAGGATTTACCTGTTCCCCCAGGTCCATCCACAAAAAAAGCACCGTTTTTCCTATCATCAATGCATTCCATGATCACATCATAAGCTTTTTTTTGTTCTTTATTCAGTAGGTTAACGGTGTTCAAGTCCTCCTCAGAAACAATTATACTTCTCTCAGCATCAACCTCACGAGTATTTTTTTCGGGGCAGAAATCAAAATCAATAGGTAATAAATTGAAAGACCGGATATTCTTACCCATAGATTCCAAAAAATAGCCTACTTGTGCAAGCGCCTTTACTTTTGCCTCTACGACAGTTAATCTAGTGTCCCTAAAGAAGTCTGCACACAGTTCCCCCTCAAATTTCTCCCACAATTGTCGTGGATTATTGGGGCATGCGTAAACCAACAGATTCGAAAATAAGCGGCGCATCTCGTAAGGCATTTGATACCGGGAGGCCTCCTGAAGACACAAATCCTGGCTGTTGTCATCCTCTAAGAACCCTCGATGAAGTGCCGCTTCTCTAAAATTCTCAGAATACCTGCCATTAAAAAACAAAAGATAATCAAAAGACTTAGGACACCGAACTTTTGACAAAAGTAATCTAAGATAATAACGTTCTCCCTCGCTAATATGTACAATTACTAATCTACCAACACAGTCACGCTTTATTCTTTTTCTCCAACGTCTTTCGGTTGGCAGCCACACAAAATATTTTGGAAATTCTAGATAAGTCAAGTTTTTCTTCTGCGCATATGGATCATTAGCATTCATGTAAAAGAATTCAATAAGCATAGTTTTCCTGTTATGAGGGTTATTTACAATTCTAGGCAGTCTATCATTCTTTTTAAAAGAAATACGCTGATAGTTCTCCAGATGCACTTGCATGTGAATTACAGTAGGTTTGATGTCCCCCATATAAAACCTAAATATACGCCAAGCTGCCTCAGGTGGCGATATCCAACGCGCTGTACGATATTGCTCTATCTCATCAACTTCCTGAAAAGGCTTGTCTGAATCCACATGGAACGCAATTTTATCATGCCCCTTGCAAATGTACTTATATATATATTTAACGGCCTTTATTGTTGAACAGACTTCCATATTCATATGACAATTGAACTTTGCAAGAAGATATGGATTATACGGAATTACCCACCTGTTATCCAATTCATGACCCCTAACCTTTACACGAATGTTATTATTGCGACGCTTGTACTTAGGGTAAGCATCACTTATATGAGCAGTGTAGTCACAAAATTCCTTAGGGTACAAATTTTTACATGTTCCTGTTCTTTTCATGCAGGGATTCTTAGGGTTCATCTTACCACAAGGACCATGCAACATATGCTTGATAACCATACTATACAAATGAGGTGAAGTAACACGATCCGGAATTTCGGCGCTAACAATCCTATCGTATTCCTGAGCTGTGTACAATTTAAACTGCGGCTTAAGGATTATAAGAAAGTGCGCATGTGGTAACCCCCTCTTTTGAAATTCAATAGTATAAGTATAGGCAGCCACCTCGCCAAATTTTTTTTTTTTCAAAATTTCCTTTTTCAAATCTTCTAATTTTGCTCTGAAGATTCTAGCAACTACGTCAGGCCTATTTTGTGATTCATCAGAAGGCAACAACAGGGA